GCGGAATGAACCGCCAACTTATCCAGCACGTTTTTACGCAGCGGATGCCCTTCCAGTCCCAATGTATTTTTGCATTTATATGATTAGTTTAGGGCGGCACGATGGCGCAATGGGTAGCACAATCGCCTCACAGCAAGAAGGTCGCTGGTTCGAGCCTCGGCTGGGTCAGTTGGCATTTCTGTGTGGAGTTTGCATGTTTTTCCCGTTTAGGCGTGGGTTTCCTCCGGGTGCTCCAGTTTTCACCACAGTCCAAACACATGCGCTATAGGGGAATTGATAAATTAAATTAGCCATGGTGTATGTGTGTGAAGGAGTGTGTGTGATGTGATGGGTTGCAGTTGGAAAGGTAAAATATTTGCTTGATAAGTTGGCGGTTCATTCAGCTGTGGCGATCCTGGATTAATAAAGAGACTAAGCTGAAAAGAAAATGAATGAATGATTATTTTTACATTTTATTATCACCTGAAAACTGTTTAACGACTCGCTAAACCATGAAGTGTTGTTTTCATTTGATTTATAGGTTTATGTTATTTATCTCAGCTCATAAGTAGTTTTTAATTCTTTAAAACTGTCCCTTTCAGGCATTTTTTGCAATATTCTACACCGATGCACTCCTCTATAAATCATCTTGGTTAATTTTAAATAATCAATTGCTTCCTAATAGAGAGCTATTCAAGTCACCTGTTGAAATTGGAGTCATATATGCAGCATTATTTTCATAAAAAGAAAATATATACCACGCCAGTTATTTCTCCAGCATCCTGCAGAGAACAGAAGTAAATGGTGTGTGTTATTTAACGAGGTCGCGGTTTCTTTATTACTGTCTATCCTCTGATCAACTTCTCAGACCGCAGTAAATGTGTGTCAGGAGCAGGGATGTGCAGAAATGCATATTAGGGACAAACGGCTAGCCGGCTAATCAGTCTACTTGTGTAATTGGGCCGGTTCACTTAAGCTTAATAGTTCTAGCATTATGTCCTCTTAACAAGTCTGAGAGTAAACAAGAAGCAGAACGACAAAAACATTGCTCTGGAGTGAATTTGAAAAAGGTTTGTAATGTCACTTTTGATTAGTTTAATGCATCCTTGCTTGATGTAATATTATTTTCCTCCTAAAAATCACACCGATCTCAGACAATGTGAATTTAAGAGTCTTTAAACAAGGATAAAAATGTTAATGTAGTAAACAAATACTATAACGTCATATAGAACATTAGTTTCACTTTAAATTTTACTCCCTACAATACTAATGAAAGCAAAAATGGCAATAAGCATGTATATAAGTTTGAGTCCCGGCTGGGTTATTTGTTGTTTCTGTGTGGAGTTTGCATGTTCTCCTTGTTGGCATGGGTTTTTCTCCAGGTGCTCTGGTTTCCCCCCACAGTCCTAAGACATGCGCTATAGTCAGTGTGTGTTTTTGAGCGCAGTATTTAAGCAGTGAGCAGCTTTAGTCAGTGAGTGTGCTGTGATTTATGGAGAGCTGATTCTGGTCTGCATCAGTATGTAGAGACAGACTGAGACTCAATGCAGTTTCCATGGGGCCGCTGAACTGAACTGCTCCACAAAGACCAAACCGCACAAAGAAACAGCTTTAACACAAACACAAAACCCTCTGCTCATGCTGAACACACACTCATCTGTTAACATGCGCTCATCCGGAGCCCGGCGGTGTGTTAGTGGAGCAGGGGTTCAGATTTAACATTCAGAGTTCAATATTTTAATGTTATGTAATATTGGTGGTAATGTTAGCCATAGTAGTAATATTATATGCATTTTGATTTAATTGTACTATTTTATAGAATTTAATTTCATGTTTTTTTTTATTTTATTTTACAAATGTTTTGTGCTGTGTTTTGTTTGAGTTTACATAATGGCAGCTATCAACTGAGTATTCCAGCAAGACATTTTTTAATTCAATTAATTTTTATGTATTTATTTACTTGTTGCTGTTTATTTTATATTAATTTTTATATGTTTGTTTTTTATCTTACTTTAAATTTTATTTTAACTTTAATTTTATTTTTTATTTGATTTTACATAATCTCAGCTATCACCTAAATATTACAACAAGGCATTTTAGTTTATTTTTTATTTTATTTTATTTTTTACATAATTATATTTATTTATTCATTTATTTCTTTATTTTATTTAAATTTTAACTTTTAATTAAAACGATTATTTTTTGTTTATTTTACATAATGACAGCTATCAACTAAATATTCAGCTAAATAATACAATAATGCATTTTATTTTATTTTATTTTTCACTTAATTATATTTATTTATTAATTTTACATTTTAACATTATTTTAATTTTATTTTACATAATTGCAGCAATCAACTAAATATTCCTGCAATGCATTTTATTTTAGATTTATTTTATTTTATTTTAGTTACTTTTGAACTTTATTTTAATTGTAATTTTATTTTACATAATGGCAGCTGTCAACTAAATATTGTAGTTATTCATTTTTGAATGGAATTTATAAAATTTCATTAATGCAGACAAAAAAATAAATAAATTGTTTAACTTTTTAAAATAAATTGTTCTTAGCATCAAGGCTCTGTTCTTTTTCCAAATGATTTATTCATTTTTTGTTTGAGAATCTACTTCATTTTATTGTTATTATTATTATTATTATTATTTCTTTTTTTTATTTATTTCTTTTTTGTTTTACTTGTATTTTTTATAATTTCTTAATCCAATTTTATATTTCTCTTCAAGTTTATACAAGTAAATAGTTAACTTAATAGTGAAATTGTTAGCTTTTTTACTCGTGTTATAATTTGCTGCATTTATGCTTAGAGACAACTTGGTGTCGGGATTAAATTTAACGTACAAAAGATTTTTATATAAATTGAAAGCATTAAATGAAAGTAAAGTATCCTGCGTAATGTTTTAGTAACTCTTGTGGAAGGCAATGTCAAAATACAGGTGACATAATTGTTAAACAGCAGAACACACATTTATGTAAGTGATCAGCGAACATTTGTAGTTTTTTAAATAAATTATACTTGCTGTAAATGTTGTTTAAACTCAAATAAAAGAAAACAATCGCTGATTGATTAAAATATGGGTTTAACTCGCATTTTACACACATGTTGGTTGAAACGGCTCATTTTTATTGTTTTGAAGGATCGGTTTAGTAGTGTAGTGGTTTAAAGCATAAAGTGTAATAATGTAAAATTATTTAGTTTATTTATTATATGCTATGAATGATTCTTTATGCATGTATATGTGAGTGTTTGTGTCATCTGCCTGTGATCCTGACACCTGAATGAGCTCTTTAAATTGCCTGAAGTGTGATTTATTATTCCGGGTGTCTGAATACATGCCGGATCATCACACTATTCTCCATTATTTGCTCCTCGTTTGATGAATAACTGCTGCTTTGATTGCTGAATCTGAGCACAGATGTCTCTCATAATAAAACCCTGTTTAGCGGCACAGTTTTAATTGCAGAAAGCAAACGAGTGAGTTTTGTGATTACAGCACAATGTGTAATGAGCCTAATTGACAATGTAGGCGTCCGTTATAATGCCATTTAAAAAGATGAAGTGGCGTTTGTGCATGTTCTTGTGACTTGCTAGATGAATCATCAGGATGCCGAATGATTCTGACTTCAACTGTACATGTTGACAGAGTGTTTATTTTTGGGTGTACTGTCCCTTTAAATCACCCTCAGTCGACTGTAAGCTGAATTCGCTCTGTCATCTCTTGAGAATGAACCTGTTGTTAGAAAGTTTCTGCTGTGCTTTAAAATGGCTTTGCAAAAACGCTGAGCTCGCAGTTCGCTCTCAATCCTCAGTTATGGAGGAGATTCCACTGAGCTCCAGTCTTTGATGAGAAGGTTAGGCTGTGTATAATACATGTTAAGGTAGAAAATATTGACTTTCAGATTCCAGCAGAAAGGGAACACACATTCGCTGTGTGGCCAGACGAGCAGTTTACTTCCTTCAAACACATTACTTTTAAAAGCAAATCGATTTCACAGCCTCTGGTCGTCTGAGTCGAGGGGGTTGAGGAGTAAAAGACAGACGGTCAAAGCTGAAATACACCACAGTCTCTACTGTCTTAAAGGGACAGTTCACTCACTTTTTAAGTTTTTATTTTCATTCATTCATTTTTCCTTCAGCTTAGTCTCTGATTTATCAGGGGTCACCACAGGGGAATGAACCGCCAACTATTCCAGCATATGTTTTACATAGCGGATGCCATTTCAGCCGCAACTCAGTACTGGGAAACACCCACACACACTCTTACACTACGGCCAATTTAGTTCATCAATATGCCACATGTGTTTGGACTGTGGGGGAAACCGGAGCACCCAGAGGAAACCCACGCCAACATGGGGAGAACATGCAAACTCCACACAGAAACACCAACTGACCCAGCCGGGACTCGAACCAGCAACCTTCCTGCTGTTAGGCCACCGTGCTAACCACTGAGCCCCTTTTTATATGCTTAATTTGTCATAGTTGCTATGCACATCATATAATATTTGTTGTACAAGATGTGTTATTATAATACTATATAATATATACAGTACAAAATTGAATAAAAAAACCCTAATAAACAGACCCCACTATAACCCACATCTTGTACAACGAATAATATATGAAGTGCATAGCAACTGTGACAAATTAAGCATTTAAAAAGGGGCTCAGTGGTTAGCACTGTGGCCTCACAGCAAGAAGGTCGCTGGGTCGAGTCCAAAGACATGCGGTACAGGTGAATTGGGTAGGCTAAATTGTTTGTAGTGTATGAGTGTGAATGACTATGTATGGATGTTTCCCAGAGATGGGTTGCAGCTGGAAGGGAAAATGAGCTGAATAAATTGGCGGTTCATTCCGCTGTTGAGACCCTGGATTAATAATGGGAGTAAGCCGAAAAGAAAATGAATGACAGTTTTGGGTGAACTGTCCCTTTAACCCTTGTGTTGTTTTTTTAATTTGTATATAAATTGTTAACGTCTATTATTCTGAACTTTTCTGTTTGCAGATATCAGTGTCTGCGGCCAAATCTCCCTCCACGACAGACGACCTGTACCTGGAGGAGGCTGGATCTGGAGGATACCCTGAAGATGATGATGATTTCAGCTCCGGATCGGGATCAGGTGAGCGTCTGCATCACTCTGGAGCAGAGATTGCTCTTTGTTTCAGTTTAGTTAGTTTTATTAATGGTTTTAGTTAACAAATCTACGTATGGGAAGCTATTATGTCTCTTTTTACAAGATGTCAAATGCGTCTCTGCTGTCTCTAGAGTGTGTAGTGAAGTTTCAGCTCACAATAGCACACAGATAATGTTCTCTAGCTCTCTGAAACTGACTCTTTAAGGCTTTGATCCTAATCAGTTTTGGTGACTGTCGCTTTAAATTCAAATGAGATTGTGTCCTCAGCCCTATTTGGAATAGAGGGCGGAGCTACAAATGTCTGTGTCAGCATAGTGGCAGATTCAAAAACAAGACTAATGCCCTATGCTATTGAGGGAGAGATGGTCACTAGTTTATCAAAATTAAATTTTAAAATAGAATCGAAATAAAAACTAATTTAAAAATGCAAAACTACAGTAACATTAAACTAGGAAAGCATGACGTGTGATGTGATATGTGAATTTACGGATATTTATTGACATATATCGCATTAAAATGCCATTCGAATAAAATAAAAACACTTCAAATGCGATGCTAATTGATCAAACCTTCATTACTGTAATGAAAATTATAAAATAGTATGATTTATTCTTCATTCTGGGATTTTTCTATATTATATTATTATATTATATTATATTTAATATTAGTGATTTTATAGTGTCAAAGTCTAAAAGGCTTATTTTTTTGTTTTATTTTAGAGTTAGTTTGATCAGAGAAATATCTAACGCGTGTGATTGTGTGTGTGTGTGTGTGTGTGTGTGTGTTTGTGTTTGTGTGTGTGTGTTTGTGTGTGTGTTTGTGTGTGTGTGTGTTTGTGTGTGTGTGTGTGTGTGTGTGTGTGTGTGTGTGTGTGTGTGTATGTGTGTGTGTTTGTTTGTGTGTGTGTGTTGCAGGAGCCGGAGAGGTTATTGAAGATCCCGTCACAGTAAACACACTGTTCTTCGTGCCTAAAGCAGAGCCCACGCAGGACTCCACCAAAGACTTCACACCGAAAGTGGAGACAGTGACGTCACAAGACGCCCCCAAAGACTCGAAGAAACGCAGGATAGAGGTGAGCCGTCAGAGTCTGAGCCAAACACACATCGTCAAGTTTAATTAAAACATCAACACCGGAGATATCTGTAATCTGGAGATCTTAAAAGTGAAGGCGGGATCAACCTGTCAATCAAATGAGATCCTCCAATGGACTGCATTGTTGCTGCCCACTTATTTTAAATACAGTTAAAAACTGGAGACATTTACTGGTGAGGGCGGGGTCAAACTGTCAATCAAAGGAGATCCTCCAATGGACTTCATTGGTGCCACCCACTTATTTTAAATACAGTTAAAATCTGGAGACATTTGCTGGTAAGGCCAGGGTCAACCTGTCAATCAAATTAGATCCTCCAATGGACTGCATTGGTGCCGCCCACATAGTTTAAATACAGTTTAAATCTGGAGATGTTTACTGGTGAGGGCGGGGTCAACCTGTCACTCAATCAAGATCCTCCAATGGACTGCATTGGGGCCACCCACTATGTTTAAATACAGTTTAAACCTGGAGATGTTTACTGATGAGGGCGGGACCAACCTGTCAATTAAATTATATCCTCCAATGGACTGCATTGGTGCCGCCCATTTAGTTTAAATGCAGTTTAAATCTGGAGTTGTTTACTGATGAGGGCGGGGTAAACCTGTCAATCAATCGAGAACTTCCAATGGACTGCATTGGTGCCACCCACTATGTTCAAATACAGTTTAAATCTCGAGATGTTTACTGGTGAGGGCGAGATCAACCTGTCAATCAAATGAGATTCCCCAATGGAGTGCTTTGGTGCCGCCCACTTAGTTTGAATACAGTTTAAATCTTGAGACATTTACTGGTAAGGGCGGGGTCAACTGTCCATCAAATGAGATCCTCCAATGGACTGCATTGGTGCCGCCCACTTAGTTTGAATACAGTTTAAATCTGGAGGCGTTTACGGTGAGGGTGGGGTCAACCTGTCAATTAAAACAATCCACCAATGGAGTGCATTGGTGCCACCCAGTTTAAATCTACAGATGTTTACCGGTGAGGGCGGGGTCAACCTGTCCATCAAATGAGTTCCACCAATGACTTTCCAGCCACCGACTTTGTTTAAATAGTTTAAATCTGGAGATGATAACTGGTTAAATGGGATGAACTTGTCAATCAAATCAGATCCTCTAATAGAGTCCATTGGTTCCGCCTACTTAGTTTAAATGCAGTAATACTGTGGAAAAAGGCTGAAAAAGTCTGTTCTTCATCTGTTCAGGTTGCAGTTCCCGTCACAGAAGACTCTCGCAGAAACCCTGTCACCAGCACCACCAGCATCCCTCGACCTCCCATGGATCCCCAAGACGTCCAGTCAGAAAATCTTTTCCAGAGGACAGAAGTTCTGGCAGGTCTGTATACGGTCACTTCTACATGTGCTATTAATCATGTATAGTATACAGTTCATATAAGTTCATGCAAGTGTTCAACAAAGTAATTAATTTGCACTTTCTGAGAAATCAATAGTAGAAAATCCTTGAAAACAGCCATGTGCATGAAGAGGTACTCAAAAGAGAAACTGCAAAAATAATTCTGAAGTACTTCATATATTTATGTACATATAAAATAAAGAAATAAGCAATATTTTCACTCAGAAATATAATGCGGAGGTCTGTGCTCCTTCCTGCTATTCATTAACTCAGCAGATAGATTTATTATTTTTTCAAGAGATGAGATCTCTGATTGACCTTGAATACAAAAAAACTGTGCTTTAAGTGTCCTTGAAAGTCTTTGCGTTGAATAATGTGTTATGCATTCAAACTCTAAAGATACTAAAATATGTGAAGTCAAAGAGAGAGAGAAGTAGATAAAAATATATATTTATAACTTTAATAATTTCTGTAAATACTGTGTAGTGTACACGGCTATTCAAAGGTTTGGCACCAGCAGCTATTTTGCATACTGTAGCTAATTCTGCATACTGTACAAATAGTATAATAATAGTATAGTGATATTGCAAGATAATAATGCAATTAAATATTTTTTGTCTGATCAAATTTTTCTTACTTCAATCTAAATTAAAAAGTTATATATAGGTTTAGTGCTCAGCATGAATGGGTACAGACCTTTTTAAAAAATAAATATTTGATACATTTTTCAGTTTTACAGATTTTGGTGCTTTTAAACCAAAAAGTTGTGTTAAAAATTATATTCATTAAAATAAGATTTTGCTCACCGAACGTCTTTAGGAAAAGAAAGAAAATACATTCAAGTTCAAATAATTAATAACGGCAAAATAAAAAACTTAAAGTAAATTTAATACTTTTTATGTTTTTCCTGTTTATTAATTTAATTTTTTTTATGTTTTTCCTGTTTATTAATTAAATTTTTTTTTATGTTTTTCCTGTTTATTAATTTATTTATTTTATGTTTTTCCTGTATATTAATTTAATTTTTTATGTTTTTCCTGTTTATTTATTTAATTTTTTTAATGTTTTTCCTGTTTTTTAATTTTTTATGTTTTTCCTGTTTATTTATTTAATTTTTTTAATGTTTTTCATGTTTATTAATTTTTTAATGTTTTTCCTGTTTATTAATTAAAATTGTTTTTATGTTTTTCCTGTTTATTATTTTTTTTTATGTTTTTCCTGTTTATTAATTTAATTTTTTTAATGTTTTTCCTGTTTATAAATTTTAAAAAATGTTTTTCTTGTTTATTAATTAAAAATGTTTTTATGTTTTTCCTGTTTATTAATTTAATTTTTTAATGTTTTTTCTGTTTATTAATTTTATTTAATATTTTTTCCAACATATTCATTTGGGTGTGCTAATTTTTTCACTGTCACTTATTTTTCCTGGTTTTGTTAGACAAGTAGGTCAGTTTTGTCTTCGATACCGACTAATCTAATGTAAATATATATAGGGAGCAACACTATATATATATATATATATATATATATATATATATATATATATATATATATATATATATGTATATGTGTGTGTATGTATTTATATATATATATATGTATGTATGTGTGTGTGTGTGTGTGTGTGTGTGTGTGTGTGTGTGTGTGTGTGTGTGTGTGTGTGTGTGTATATATATATACACTCACACACACACACACACACACACACACACACACATACTCACCGGCCACTTTATAAGGTACACCTTACCAGGTAAATCAAAGTATAATCAAAGTATTATTATATATATTTTACCAGTATTCATGCAGTGTGGTTGAGGAAATGTTCTCTTTGATTTGGGTCTTGTGTATAATTGATGTTCTGCGCTCGCTGTGCTCTTTCTTAAACTGCATGTGCGTCTCTCTCCGGGAGCTGTAAGAGTTCACAGCACGTTTGAGCCAAACCGCCCACTTAATCTTTTGTCTTAGGAGAGCTCAGAGAGCCTGTAATTCACTCAAAATAACAAATCAATATCTTCATGCGCAAAGGTCAATTCTGTAATTGAAGCACACTTGGCTGTAATATCCTGTGGAATAATGACAGAAGAGCAGTATAATGTGGAGACTCTGGATCTCTGGGCCCTCCAGCGGTGTTTAATTATCTGATTACTGGACATAATCTGAGTCTGCTTGTTGAGCCGGATCGCGCTTCAGTCACGTAGACAGACAGGAATGACCCTTTGCAAAAATTCAGCAGAAGCATCAGAAGTTTACACGAGGGCTGTCAATCCATTACAATATTTAATCACGATTAATTGCACATTTAATCTGGTCTAAATACGTTTAAAGGATGCCTATTCTGCTGCTTTTTACAAGATGTGAATTGCATCTCTGATGTCTCTAGAGCAGTGGTGTCCAAACTCGGTCTTAGAGGGCTGGTGTCCTGCTGAGTTTAGCTCTGACTTGCTTTAATACGCCTGCCAGGAAGTTTCTAGTATATCTAGGAAGCGCTTGATTAGCTGGTTCAGGTGTGTTTGATTAGGTTTGATGCTGAACTCTCCAGGATACCAGCCCTACAGTACCGAGTTTGGACACCCCTGCTCTAAAGTGTGTAATGAAGTTTTAGCTCTAAATACCCCTTAAATAATGTACCCTAACTCTCTGAAACTGACTCTTTTAGGCTTTGATCCTAATTGTGGTGTATTTTGTTCACTGTTGCTTTAAATTCTAATGAGTTGTGCTCTTTTTAGAAGTGGGCGGGGCTACAAATGCCTCTGTGTAAGCATAGTGGCAGATCAAAAACAGAACTAGTGTTATCTGTGTGAAAATGTGAACGGAAATGTCTCAGAAGAAGAGGCTCTTATGACAGCTGAATTTATTTCAATCACTTAACTCACAGGTGTCAAACTCAGTTCCAAAAGGGCCGCAGCTCTGCACAGTTTAGTTCCAACCCTAATTAAACACACCTGATCAAACTAATTGAGTCCTTCAGGCTTGTTTGAAACCTACAGGTAAGTGTGTTGGAGCAGGGTTGGAACTAAACTGTGCAGGGCTGCGGCCCTCCAGGAATTGAGTTTGACACCCCTACCTTAACTGATAATTAGCCACAAAACTGGACTGGCCAAAAAACTCAATCACTTAATTGCCAAACAAAATCCTGTAATTTAAAAATTTTATTATTGTGAGAGTGTGACTTTTAATTTGCCACAAAATGGGCACAAATGACGTTTTTTTTTTTAAATAAAAAATCATAAAATCGCTTAATTACCAAAAAAAAAAAAATTTGCATTTTGATTTTGACTTTTAATTTTCCAAAATAGGTTGTACATATACAATTCTTAAAATAAATAACATATGTTATTAAAAAAAATGTTAATAAAAAAAAATAATATTATTTAAAATCACTTAAGAATTAACAAAAATATATAAATGTACTTTAAAAAAAGGTATTTTAATGTGACATTGTGAATTTTTATTTTGCCACAGATGCCACTTTTATAACAAGCAAGCAAAAAATCAACAAACAGAAAGCGTATTGTGAACGAAAAAAAAGCGTAATTATTACGAAATAGGTGATTTAAAAATACTGATCTATAACTCAAATTATATTACATTATGACTTTGACTTTTAAGTTGCCACAAAACTGGCACAGATGCCATTGGATTGTTAGAAATGTAGACTTTAAATATTGTTTCAATCTTTCAGTGAATAAATAATTTAAGACAGCAGAATTTAAGGTCAGAAATTTAATTATATTGTGATATTATGATGTATAATTTGCCAAAGAACTGGCACAGATGCCATTTTCAAAATTCTTTTAGAAAATAAAAAAAAATTCTATTATGTAATTGCTTATTGATGACCAAAAATTAAATCCTCAAAAAATAATAATTACATTGTGACATTATGACTTTTAATTTGCACAAAACATGCCATTTTTAAAACAAACAATCAAGCGAATGTGGAATCATCAGAAAAGTGCACATTTGTAGAGGGGGTGAAAACTTGTAACTAGGTATGACTCAATCGGGTGTTTTGCCCTCAAGTACGAGTTGATTTGTCCTTATTTTTAATTTAATTCACCTTATTTTAACATTCAACAACTCTTCTGTGATGTAGCTTGAACAATCCAGTAATTAATAACATCAATTCTTCACTTTTGAACTTTAGTGCAACAGTAAATATAAAAAATTCCAATATAAAAATAAACAGCAGCTCAAAAGGTGCCACAAAGCCAGTAATGTGCTTTTAGGCACTGCACCCCAACTCTTACTGTCATCACTGTAGTAAGTTTCACAGAAGGAAATGTATGATCTTCTTAATGAAAAGTAGCATCTCTAGCTGGTCAGGTTTGAGCCTGTTTCTGTTCACATCAAGGATGTTTGCAACGGCACTAAAAGGTCTCATTAACTTTATAACACCTCAAGACAGCAGACTTACTCGTGCTTTCCAATTCAAGCTAACACACATTTGGACATTTGTAGAGGGGGTGAATACTTATGAGCGCATCTGTATACTGTGTTTTACTCTGAAACACACATTTGGACATTTGTAGAGGGGGGTGAATACTTATAAGCGCATCTGTATACTGTGTTTTACTCTATAACACACACATTTGGACATTTGTAGAGGGGGTGAATACTTATGAGCGCATCTGTATACTGTGTTTTACTCTGAAACACACATTTGGACATTTGTTGAGGGGGTGAATACTTATAAGCGCATCTGTATACTGTGTTTTACTCTATAACACACATTTGGACATTTGTAGAGGGGGTGAATACTTATAAGCGCATCTGTATACTGTTTTTTACTCTATAACACACACATTTGGACATTTGTAGAGGGGGTGAATACTTATAAGCGCATCTGTATACTGTATTTTCACACACTCATGTTTCTTCTTCCACTTCTGTGTTTCAGCTGTGATTGCAGGAGGAGTGATCGGCTTCCTCTTCGCCATCTTCCTCATCCTCCTGCTGGTTTACCGCATGAGAAAGAAGGACGAGGGCAGCTACGATCTGGGAGAGAGGAAACCGTCCGGAGCGGCCTATCAGAAAGCTCCCACCAAGGAGTTTTACGCATAAAATGACTTCAATATCAGTGACTACGACAAACTCCTTCTGCATTATTAAAAGAAATGATTGAGGAAAAAATAAATAACATTAAGGAAAGCTTTTGGCATAGAGTATTGTAATTAAGACCTTTTCTTTCCTCTTTTTTTATGACGAAAACAAACAAGAGCGCAAGCAAAATCTCTCTGTATTTAAACGTGTATCGAAACGGCTGAGAAAGAAAGGAGCAGATGTGTAAAGCTGAGGATTTCTGCATCCGTCTTCTGTCAAAGCAGCTGTTTTTAGTCGCTGACTACTTTTTAACTGTAGCAGTATGTATTTGTAAAGACGACATTTTAAAGTGGAATAATTGCGTATAATTGTTCTGTATCAGTCCTGATTTCATTTCTCATCATCCTGATTTTGATTTCGGCTCATTTATTTAGGTTCCCAGCATGTCTGATGGTTGCTCATCATCAAAGTGTTTCATTAATTTATCATTATCTCAGATGTTGAACAAAAAAAATTGCCTTTCTGTAGTTTTCCCAAGCCAATGTCTCAATGTTTCCCCGCTCAGTTTATGAGTTTTGTTGGTGCTCAGAGCTGATAATCTGTTTAAAGACCCGTGCGTTGCGTTCGCCAGTGTTTGTAGGTCAAATAAATCAAGCAGTGCCATTTAAAACCTCGCATAGATCAGCAGCTCTCGTCTGTTAGATGAAGAAACCCAGGCTGATTTCTGGAGCCCCGTATTGCGTTTGCTTTGATCATGGATGAAAAGATCACGCGCACACACACACACACACACACACACACACACACACACACACACACACACACACACACACACACACCGGTGATCTGTTTTATGAGCTCCTGCAGAAAGTAGAGCTGATCTGTACTGTTAAGCGGCCCAAACTATCCACACTGCTGATTAGCAATATCCATATTTAGTGTGTTTATTGGGTTTATTTGCAGTGGTGAATTGCATTATGGGATGTTGATCTCTGCTCTGTCCACTTCTGATGTTGAGAATTCAACTCTACAGTTGAACAAAGTGACTTTTATTGACATTTTAGTAGCTTTAAATAATATAATGTGTAATATTTGGAGGAATAGGTGTGTAAAATAACAGAAAATCTGCTGCAGGTCATTACAAGGTGTTTGTTGAGTAATATACAACACCAACACAGACAATACAGCACTGCACACTACTAATAATCACAATAAAAGTCATGTTTTTTGGACTTTTCTAGGTTTAGTGTTCCCATAATGCAATTTAAAAGCAGAAATATATGAGGAAAACTTAAAACATGAGTCATAAAATAGAGAAAACTGCTAATTTATGAATATTTCTGCTCAGTTGTAGTGCCGGCATTGGAAAATCATAGAAATTAATAATTCTGCACGGGTTTTGGAACGGTTTTACAGAGCTGAAATGAGGCTGATCGTCCAGTTTGGCGACTCCAAACATTTTTAACACACACACACACACACAAACACACACACACACACACCGGTGATCTGTTTTATGAGCTCCTGCAGAGAGTAGAGCTGATCTTTACTGTTACGCGGCCCAAACTATCTACACTGCTGATTAACAATATCCATATTTAGTGTGTTTATTGGGTTTATTTGCGGTGGTGAATTGCATTATGGGATGTTGATCTCTGCTCTGTCCACTTTTGATGTTGACAATTCAACTGTACAGTTGAACAAAGTGACTTTTACTGACATTTTAGTAGCTTTAAATAATATAATGTATAGGAAAATGTGCTGCAGGTCATTACAAGGTGTTTGTAGTGTAATATAGAACACCAACACAGACAATACAGCACTGCACACTACTAATAATCACAATAAAAGTCATGTTTTCTGAATCTTTCAAGGTTTGAAGTTCCCATAATGCAGTTCAGAAGCAGAAATAAATGAGGAAAAGTTAAAACATGAGTCTCAAAATACTTAAAACTGAAAGTTGCATTATGGGATGTTGATCTCTGCTCTGTCCACTTCTAATGTTGAAAATTCCACTCTACAGTTTAAATAAGGCACTTTTGTTGACATTGGAGGAGCTATAATCATACAAAGTATAAGAAATAGAGGAATAAGTGTGTAGAAGAACAGAAAATGTGCTGGAAGTTTACTTCAGGGTGTTTGTAGTGTTAATATAGTCAAGACAATACAGCACTGCAGAATATTAATAATGACAATAAAAGTCCTTATTTTGATATTTTTAAGATGAAAAGTTGCAGGAGGAGAGATCAAGATCCCATACTACAATGCAAAAGCAAAACTAAACGAGGAAACATGAAAATAGGAATCGCCAAATAGAGAAAACTGCTCATTATGGATATTCTTTTACATCGTAGCGTCCCAATTGGGGGAAAAAACATTGAATTTCTTATTTCTGAGCTCGTTTTCCAGCGGTGGACGAGTTTGGAATGGTGTGAAAGAGCTGAAATGAGGCTGATCGGCCAGTTTGGCGACTCTAAACATTTTTAAAACCGGTATAATTAGATTAAACTCGGTCTGTCGACTGAAGTGAGCTTTCTGGCCACACACACACACACACACACACACACACACACACACACACACATCCAAAGACTCGTTTGATTTTCACATTATTGCTGCGTAATCCTTCGGCCACAGTCAAGGTTCTGTTTTATTGGTTGTTTTCTTTGATTGTTAGCTGTTAGTTTGGTTTTATTGAGTAGACATCTGACCTTCGCATCCGATTACTTATTCATGTATGGGGAAATCTATATAGAATTATATATAAATGTATATTCACAAATGTTTTAAACCTTGCCTTAAAAGTGCCTACCATTTGGAAGCGTGCAGATGTCTGTGGCTCTAGACGGCAGACCGGCCCGAGTCGCGGTTTTGTGTTCGCACAGCAGAATGAAATGGTAAATTCTTTTGTTTCTTTTCTTTTTTTTTGTTTAGTTGTACAAAAGCAGACAGTATTGTACCTGTAAGTTAAAACAACACTACTGAATAAACATTGTGGCCTAAATCTGCTCGTCTGTGACTGATTTATTTGTCTGTCTGTGCATGCATTCATCCTGTTAGTGGGTGTTTAATTGTTGTCCGTCTGATGTTGTCTGTCTACCCATCCATATTTCCATCTATCTGTCCATCCTTCTATCTATCCGTCCATCCATCCATCTATCCATCCATCAATCTAACCATCTATCTGTCCATCAATCTATCCTTCCATCTATTTTTCCATCTATCCATCCATCCTTCAATCTATCTTTCCATCCTTCTATCCGTCCATCCGTCCATCCATCCATCCATCCATCAATCTAACCATCTATCTGTCCATCAATCTATTCATCCATCTATCTGCAATCAATCCATCCATTCTTCCACTTATCTGTCCATCAATCTATCCATCTATCCTTCCATCCATCTTTCCATCTATCATCCATCCTTCAATCTATCCATCCTTCTATCTATCCGTCCATCCATCCATCTATCTGTCCATCAATCTATCCATCCATCCTTCCATCTATAGTTCCATTCATCCGTCCATCAATCTATCCATCCATCCTTCTATTTATCCTTCCATCAATCAATCACAATCCATCCATCCTATCTGTGTCTGTTTGTCTGTCCTTCTATTCATCCATTTGTCTATCCATCCTTCCATTTGTCCATTTATCCGTTCATCTATCTGTCTGCCTATGTCCACCAGTCTATCCATCAATCTCTCTGTCTGTCCTTATGTCCATCCATCTGTCTATCCATCCTTTTGTTTGTCCATTTATCTGTCCTTCCATCCATCCATCCCTTGTGTCTGTATGTCTATACATCCTTCAATTCTTCCATCCATCCATTCGTTCATCAGTCTTTTCATCTATTCGTCCATCAATCTATCCCTCCATCTGTGTTTGTGTGTCTGTCCTTCTATCCATCCATCCGTCTGTCCATCCTTCCATTTGTCTATTTTTCTGTCCATCTATCCTTCAATCTGTCTTTCCATCTGTCTGTACATCTGTCTGTCTGTCCATCTATCTATCCATCAATCCTTCCGCCTGTCTGTCTATCCATCCTACCAATCATCTGTCCATCTCTCCATCCATCCATCTATTCGTTTGTGCATCCATCTATCTATTCATTCATCCACGCTTCCTTCTTTCCATCCATTTATCAATGTCCAACAATCTACATCTTTCTATCGTCTATCTATCTGTCCGTTTGTCCATCCATCTATCCAGCCGTCCATCCATTTATCCATCCTTCCATCTGTCTGTCCATCTTTCCTTCCATCCACCTACCTGTTTGTCCATCCATCTTTCAGTCTGTCCATTTATTTGTCCATCCATTCATCCATCTCAGTCATTTATTTCTAATTTCTCTGGTTCTATCATTCTCATCATATCTATCTTTCTGTTGTCCTGTCTTTTTCTAATCTCTGTTTTCTATCTATCTTTCACTGTTTCTAGTGTTCTGTCTTCCATCTATCACTCTTTTCCTACTTATCCCTTCATTCTGACATGACTCTTGTTCTATCTGTTGTTCTAGTATTATTCTCTATCATTCAAATGTGTTCTGTCAATCATTCTACCTTTCTATCCATCCGCCGATCTGTCATTACATCGGTTCTATCTTATATTAACATTCTATCATTCCATCTTTTTTCCATCAATAATGTCTGCCTGCTTATCTGTCTAATTATCCCTTGTGTTAAAGACAGACAATACTGTGTGTGTGTAACTTGTATTCCTTACATTGTGTGGACCAAATGTCCCCACAAGTATAGCAATACCAGCTCACAAAGCGCACAGAATGACTTGGTTAAAAATGTAAACATACAGATTGTCTCCTGAGTGTTGAGTTTAAGGGTAGAGGAGAAATTATTCAGTCTGTACAGTAAAAGCATCATTACAGCTATAAGAAGTCCTCATAAAGATAGCTGTACAAGTGTGTGTGTGTGTGTGGAATCTCTCACATGCGGTGACAGTATGAAGGGATTTGTACAGAGAGTGTTTACACACGGGCTCAGCGCTGCAGATTACTTCTGTATTTATTAATCTTTATTGGTTCTCCTGTGGGATTACTGTACCTCTGCGTGATCCCGCTGCTTCTCTTATTCAGATCCGTGTCTGGCAGAA